GTAGTGATATATTGGGTGGGGTGTAGGGGGGAGTATAGGAATAATCGTCTAATGGGTTGACTGGTGGTATTATTACCCAAACTGGGCAAGGTATGTTCTAACTAAAACTGCCCAAGTAGGGGTGAATGAGTAGTTGGTTAGGGGGCCTAAACCCTAAACCCCTAGACCCTCCAACCCTTAAACCCTAAACCCTATTTTCTTTCCTGACATGGCTTCAAGAGGCTCAATTTGGGAGTCAGAGTCCCTGAGATTCTGTCTCATCCTTACAAATCTTCCTGGACCCCAAAAGTATGCAAAAGAATGGCCTTTATGGCTGTTATTATGGGTCTAAGGCTATTATTTTACATACTTTAGGGGTTTAAACCCTAAACCCTGTTTAGGTAGAAGTCAAATCTCCATTCCAGGCTGGGCTGTCATTCGCGGTTTAGGGTTTAGGGCTTAGGGTTTAGGGTTTAGGGTAAAAGTCCTCTGCGCGGTTATGTGATCATGGGGACGTCGTTTACCATTTCTGAGGGAAGCTATTAAATGGGGATGAGTTTTTGGGGTTGAGGGGTTAGGATCTGCAGGGCCTGGCATTTGGGGATGAACGGGGAAACTAGGGATCTTTTGCAGGGAGTTGCCTTCACCCAAACGAACATGGAGCATCGCACAGACCCCTTCTAGAAGAATTGTAACCTTTATGGAACCCCTCTTTAGGGCTTCTGATTATTTTTGTTAGGGAGGGTAGGGCGCAAGCGTGGATCATCATGCTGCCTGTCATGCCGCTGTATCTTGTTGTGCGTTGCCGCGGACAATATCACTACTGCAAGTTGACTCGTCCCAGGCCAGTAATCTTTCCATGAAGATCTTGGTGGATAATGTAGACCCCGATTAATAAACCCCCTCCTTTTAAGGGCCTTAATATAAGGATCCCTACTACAATCCCTATTAAGGGGAGGGAGTTTATAAATCATGGGTCTGGGTTACACTCCTCGCAGGCTCTTAGAAACTCTCTGCAGGACCTGGTGACCAACATCATGGACCTGTCGGAGTCGGACAAGAGGAAGAAATCTGCGGTGCCATCACAGCCACCGAAGCAGAAGGCGTGCTGTGGCCAAGGTTCTGACCTTGGTTTGGGGTTTAGGGTGTAGGTCCTTAAGATGCTATGGGCCCAGAGGTAAAAGGATTTAGGGTTTAGGGTTTAGGGTTTAGGGCTTAGGGTAAAGGGTTTAGGGTTTGGGGTTTAGGGTTTAGGGTTTAGGGAGGTGTGAGCAACGACCCACAACATGTCAAAGGGAGTCAGTATTAGTCATTAATCCCCTCCCCCTAATATTAACCCCCCCCACCCATCTAATATTAAATATTCCCAATATATTGCAAAATACTAGAATTGGTAGCTTTTAATATTGCGAGGTGGGGGGGGTTAGTAGTCAACTTAAGTTACTACATTGGGGAAACCATATTAGCTACTGCATATTTTGGGAGGACCCCCCCACCCTGTAATAGTGACTATAAGGTATAATAAGGAATATATTAGGGTCCTATTATATTCCTATTATACAACTATTACAGGGTGGGGGGTCGTCCTAATTTGTATTCCCATCCTGGTAACAGACTTTAAGTTCCTTAACAGCAACCCAGGAAAGCAATGAGTTAGTTCAAGCCTGTGGCAAAACAACAAAGGCCTCAAGACTCACATGCTTAGACCAGCATCAGAAAGTCCCAGGGGGATTCGGGGGCTTCCCAAAATTAGGAGTACCTCTTCGGGGGTCCCAAGAATATGCATCATAGTATTTGGGGTTCTATATTAGGGTCCCCCTATTTTGGAAAACTCCCATTCCTGTAATGCCAGCAAGCCCCTGACACACCTAGAATCTCCCACTGTACTCCTTGGTTTGCTGGTCGGGGGGCAGACGCGTGCTATCGTGGCATAGGGCAAGATGGTGCTCTCAGACAGGCGATGAAGCACACGAGACTTCTCAGACGAATCCATCCGTCGCAACATTCAGAATTGAGTTTTCGCAGCAAGAGGAGGGCCCCGTATGCATCTCATGACATTCTAGTCTGCATGATTAGGACTTAAGAAGGGACAGCTTTGATGATTTTTGGAAGCACCCGAATGGCACTAGCAATGGAAGGCCCTGCATAGATGGCTTCGTCAAAGGGGGTTGATGGTTTAGGGCTCAGGGAAGGCTACGAATACAAGGCCTAGACCTTCTTACCCCATTCCAGACGGAAGGTCATACCCTGGGCCCCAGACACGAGAATCTAGACCCTCACTTTAACCCTACGCCCTAAGCCCTAAACCCTGAACATTTGGCCCCACACCGTAAACCCTGAACTGGAAGTTCCCTAACATGGTTTAGGGTTTAGGGTTTAGGCTGATTCCTGTTATGAACCAGCTGACACCACATTTTCGATCAAGGTTAAAGATAGGATTACTAGTACTATGAGTATTCTAGATGTTGGTATTACTTCTCTAGTATCAGTACTACTATGACGACGATTGAAAGTACTGCTAGTATTATGGATGCTTCTAGTACGAGTATTTCGGTGGATGCCCCCCCCCTTAGTAGTTGCGTGATAGGAATATAACAGGACCCCTTAATGTAATCGCCATCATCCTACTATTGCAGGCCAGGGTCCACCTAAACTACTATCCTTCCCTAAACATTAAACTTAAACCCTAAACCGTAGACTTAACCCCTAAACCCGAAACCTTAAAACCTAAACCTTAAGCCCTAAACCTTAAACGCGAAACCCTAAATCCTAAACCCTAAACCCTGAACCCTAAACTCTAAACCCTAAACCCTTAACTGTTTGAGTTGGGCCAGGTGAACTTCCTTTCCATCATGGACGAGATTATCGTCATGAGTCGCCATGCTGTTGATAAGGCCATCACGGACTCATCACGACTTAGGGTTTAGGGTGTAGGGTTTACGGCTTAGGGTTTAGGGTGTATGGAGCTAGTAGCCACAGTACTGGGCCATCAAGTGGAAAGCATGATGAACAATTAAACGGATACTGGAGTCTTATGGGCCGAATACGCAATAGTCCCGCTACCACCATGACATAACATGGAAATTATCACGGGGTCGATGTGGGGAGGTTTGTCTCAGGCGGGAGGATTACACACCTCCTGTAGATCCGGGAGCTTCATATTATGCCCTTGAATCTGAAGCAAGTGGCATAAAGCGCTTGCCGCATGAGAAGCCATGTTAGGGACCAGGACACCACCAATAGGGAGGCTAGCTGAGCTCGTAACCTTTTTTGACAATGCCGCTGGCTGGACTCATGCAGGCTACCAAATTATGATAAGTAAGGTTGTTAGTAAGTAGCTCAGCTATAAGTAGCTTGCGAGTCCCATTAACCTTCGAATGTAGATTTGTCACAAAAGCACGCGAGCTTCAGAAGATCGTGCAGATTGAGGCAATAAGAGGATTTTGGTACCCCAACCCCGCCAAAGTAGGGCCCTTCACAGGCACATGCTAGCTGTAGGCTGCCGGTTTTAGGGTTGGGTTGGCCAAGCTCCTGAGGCCGCCGCTTGGATGACAGGATGTAAAAGGCGCTGAGCAGCAGAAATTTCCGGAAGCCGGCAGCAGTTTACAGCGTGTTCGCAGCGCGAAGGTGGTTCAAGTCAACACGAACCAGGAACCATGTATCCACATTTCTTGCATGCATGTAGACATACAGACAGAAGTGGGCAAACGTTTAACCTGCGCTCCTAGCAGCTAGACGAAAATGGTTGGCTTGCCTGGGAGTTGAAACAGAGACCGCTGCAAGATGGCAGATCCAACAACGCAGGTGACTGAGGTCAGTGGACCTTCTGACTACATCTATGTTTTCGGGAGGTGGATGCGACGACCTCCGGACTGCGCACCTGAAGCTCCGAGGCCACCTGCGAAGCCTGATGGCTCAGAGCACGCACAGACAAAGAACCTAGGTACCCCAGTAGTATCTTTTTCCCCTTTTTATTTTGGGGGTCTCCTTACTAAAGCTGAACATGAAAGAAAAAGGGTACCTTTAGGGGTTACTGGGGAACCTAGGAACAGGAAGCGCCTGCGTGCAATGCATGGTAGGGAGAAGCCCGAGCATGATTGCATACCTCTGGCGCCGAGAGCCGATGTTGAGGAGAAGCCACCAGATACTGGGTATTTAAACTAAGTTACGATACTGGGTATGTATATGTATATATATATATATGCAGGTATGTATATATAGAGGATAAATAGGGTATGTAGGGTTTGGGGTTTAGGGTCATGGGTTACCATAGTGGGTATATACATATATATCTGATAGGTTTTCCCCAATATAGTGATTAATTGATTTAAGTTCATTAACGGCAACCAAGGAGAACGGCAAAAGACGCCACTGTGGTTCGCGCCACAAGAGGCTGGTTGAAGTCAAAGCTGAACATGCGGAGCTGAAGCCCGAACAATCGGTTACTCCTAGACGCCAGGCCTCAGAGAGCCCTTACCAAGATCGTGTTGGATTTGCCACTGCAAGGGCTAAGAAGGCTAGGGCAACCATGGTCTCAAAGTGGAAGAAGCTAGCCTACGGCAAAGGGAAGCCGTCGGTAAAGCGTTCTGAACTTGCAGCAAAACCCGGACTCGACCGGGATCTCTTCAGCCACAAGTTCCAAGCCTGGCTGAATGACCGCGGGTTAGAAGAAGCCTTAGAGCGAGACCCACAAAGCGACCCCGTTCTGACGGCTGATTGCCCGCTGCCATATCCCTGCATGTATTACAAGTACAGCGCTCCAGATTTGCCAAGCAATGCGCAGATACAGCCTGGCAAACACTGGAAGAGAGCCTACCACTGGACGTGGTTCTATGCGTTGCGAAGCATCCTGCACCATGGTGTGCTGCTGGAGTCTACGGACGAGGAGAAAGGTCACACCTTGAGTCAACGTGGCCTGTGCCTGACTCCTTGCTTGGACAAGAGCATCTGGCACGCCAGGCCGCACGCTGTCTTCGATGATGGCCTCTTCCACAGAGCCATCATCGAAGTCCGCTATGATCCAGCGCGAGCTAAGCAGAGCCGTAACAAGGGGAAGAAGGGTGCGAGCAACATCACCATCAACAGCGATGCTGTGGCGATCACTGGGTTGATTATCCAGGTTAACTCACAAGTCTACGCTGGAGAGGAGCGCTTCAAGGGCTGGGACGACGACCTCGAAGTTGTCCCACGCCCTGTATTGAAAAGCCGTCAAGCATGCGAACGCCAGAGGCGTCGCGATCATGAGCGGCGAAGGCAGCCTGTGGTTGGCAACGACAGCTCCTCCCAGCGCGAGAGAAGTAGGCCCCGCGAGAGCTCTCTGGTTGCTAGGCTTGAGGCGGAAGCACAGCTGGAGAGGGAGCGGCGGCGCCTCGAGTACGAAGCGCGTCGGGAGACCTATGCTCGTCGAGCGGAGGAAGCCTGGCGTGAACGTGATGAGCTGCGTCGGCAGCATGCCCAACGTGAAGAAGAGGCCCGGCGTAGACGCCGGTCTTGGTCTCCACCGGGTCGCTTTAATGTATTCTCACCATCCAGGCGGAGGAGGAGGAGGACGCGTTCTCGAAGTCGAGTTCAATGACAGTTGGATTCATCTTTCAAGCGTACAGGCCTGTGCGCAGACAGAGAACCGCGCAGGCGAAAGAAATGCAAATGTTCAGCTACCTGGCACGTCTTACGCTGCCCGCAATATTCCTACGTCCCACGCTGCAGGCGATGGGGCATCATACGCCTTGACCCCAATCTCTAGTAAGGTCCAGGCTCCCTTTGCATCCCTCACACATTTTGTGTTGCGGTTTACGGTTTAGGGCTTAGGGTTTGGGGCTCCACCATCCTGTGCGAGTTGCATACCAGGCAAGATTAAAGAGTTTCAGGATTCAAGGTCTTATTTGAAGGTTCGGTTTATAACCTTTGTAATAGTTCCCCTAGCTTGACATGTAGCTGTCAACTTAACTAAAAATAAGGTCATAACACCAACTTGAGGTAGCTAAGAAGTGACGCGAACCTGAAAGTAAACCTACACACCAAACTCTAAGGTCTAATCCTAACAGCCAAGCTATCCCAAACCTCAAGCCTTCAACGGGAAACCCCCAAACGAAACGCCGAACCCCTAAAATCTGCACTCCCACAGGGTCCCACAGACGCCCGAAATTCTGAAGCCCCGCGCCCGAGCAAGTCCCCCAAAACCCCTGAACTCTGACTTCCTGTGCCTTAGCACCCCCGGAGCTTGTATGGTTTAGGGTTTAGTGTTTAGGGTTTAGGGTTCCAAAGCCCAACATACCTAAAGCACTGAATGCCTAAACCTAGACCCTTAAACCCCCAAACCTAGGCCCTTAAACCCTAAACCCTGAACCCTTAAATCCCGAAAGCTGGTATGCTTCCGAAACGAGAATTCCTAAACGCCTGAATACGAGAATCAAAAAGGTCGCAATGCCTACAACCACTTAAGGTTTAGAATTTAGGGCTTGATACTACAAACTGATACTACGGACGTCTTACACCCTGCCTCAACTACCCTGAGTCCAGAAATCCCTAGAACCCTGAAACCCTCAACGTGTCAAGCCCAAAGCCCAAAACTAAAAAGATTAAACCCTGGAAGCCTCCAAACCCCCAAATCCTAAACCCTAACCCCAAAAGCCCTAAATCTTTTCTTTTGCCAGGCCAACAAGCCCCTCATCAAGTCAGGCCTGGGGCATGTTTCTGGCAGAGAGTAGGCGTCTGGGTTGGTGGTTTTGAGGTTTGGTTTTGAGTTTGTTAGGTAAAGAAGGTATCCATGATCCCTACAGGGGCCTCTACAGGGTTTGGGGCTCCTCAACCCTAAGCCCCCACAATGTACCAGTTTCCACTTTCTGTTCCATGTCTTCACACCCGGCTTACAGCCAGCAAGTCCTACATTTGCTGGCCTCAGACCGACTTTTGGGACCTAAACCTTTTGAATCCTTTTGGGTTTGGTTGGTCGTTGTTTTTTCAAGAGGGAGGCTGAAATTTTCATAGGAAGGTCATGAAGTCGGTGAAATTTGGCTAGATACGGATCAAGCTAATGCACAGGGTTTAAAGTGCAGGAATTTGGGGTTTGGGCCCAGGGCACACCCCTGTTGATAAATAGCCAACATTGCGTGCTTCTATGCATATCGCGCTTTTGGGGCTTCATAATGACAAGAAGCCGACTCCGTATATGGGTGGTTGTCAAAATTATGGTCCTTTTTTGGGTTACTCCAAATATTAGGTGCCATATTATAATAGGGATCCAAAAAGGGACCATAATTTTGACAACCACCCATATGGTAGAAAACATTCTTGGCATGAGCCAAAAAAAAACCTGGCCTACGGATACCACATCCATAAGGGTTATCTCAGTAGTATGTAGGGATCTCTTTTGGTGGTTCAGAAATACGAGTCTATGGGCACACACATACACCCGCATGATATCTATCTATCGATCCATGTATCTGCCTACCTATACATGTATATATCTATATATGCGCATTTAAGAGCATGCAGAGACAGAGGGTGTGCGCGAGGCTTTCTCCAAATTTGCTAGGATGGTCCCTGTCCGTGGATTCCTACTAAAACACGGACCCCTGAGATTATGTTGCGAAGTCACAATATTGGTCTCTTTTTTGGACCTTGGTGGTTCTGCTAGCAGGGCTAGGCGGGCGTTGTATGGTTTGGGTCACTACACTTTACCGCAACTGTCTTTAAAGGTGTTTTATTTGGGGGCTATTGCTAGTACTCTTGCCTTTTGTAGAAACTGTTGCTGTAGGGTGCGGTAGACTTTGAATCTTAAAGCCGAAAACATCCCAACCTGCCACATCCCACTATGCTAAATATCCTACATGGACTTGAAGAAACAGCAGGCTGTCAAAACGGTTCAAAAAGTAGGGTAACCATGGATATCCTGGAAAAAACATAGAGAACCCGAATAAAGGACACTCATGCTACATCGCTACTAGTGGGTACAGAGATTACCTACCAGTCGGGGCCGTTGCCCGGCAGGCGTCGAGCTGCAAAATCTGGTTCGGGAGATGGGCCGTGTGCCGATTGTGCTCTCAGACAGCATTTAATGCATGTAGTGAAGCAGAAGTAAAGGAAGGGGGACGGGTAAGAGTACCTGAACTCAAAAGTATGTAAACCAAGGGTCTTTTGGGTTATATTCGGTGGTTTAGGGCTATTATTTTACCTACTTTTGGGGTTCAGGTACTGGTAATGCTAATGGTAATGAAGAGAGACAATGGACTTTGACAACGGGAGGCATGGAGTTGTTTCAGGTGCATATATGTGCATGTGGGAGTTTCCGGCAGGAGCCGGCCGCCTTAGCTACCGCAGTATACCAACCCCCCAGATGTACACATATGAGCTATATTGTCTAAACTACGTAAAGGGGGTTATTAGGGAATTATATACGGGGCACTATCCTCCCTAAACCCTAAACCCTAAAACCCTAGACCTAAACCCTAAATAGGAGTTCTAGACACAGATCATATGGGAACATTTACTTCGTCAGATCGGCTCGGGGGGCCTGGGTCAGTCATAATACAATTGGATTGGGTTTAGGGTTTAGGGTTGTAGTCATGGGTTCAGCTAGTACCCCCCCTCTATACTACACCCCCCTAGGTTCCCCCCTTAATGAAAGTTATTTAGGGATAGTTAAGTCCTCATTAAGGTTGATTAAGAGGGGAACCTAGGGGGTAGTATAGAGGGGGGTACTAGTTGAACACATGAGGTTTTAGGGTTTAGGGGTTTAGGGTTTAGGGAGGATGCCGCAGCAAAGAGACGTTTGGCTGAAATACCGATGCTGAAAGACTCAGAGCACGGTTTAGGCATTTCGAGTTTAGCCTTATCGTCCCCCTTAAGTAAATAGAATATGGGCTATATGGGGATCTTATTATAATCTTCCCAAAACTATATTCTATCTACTTAAGGGGGACTATGGGGCTTAGGGTTTTTGAGTCTTGCCAGCTTTTGACTGTCTAAGGCCTGTAGTTGTCCAGCTTTCCTAGAAGCCCTGAACCCTAAACCCTAAACCTAATGTCAACTTCGGATTATTAACGGGGGTCGTATTAGAGCTAAATCAGGCCTGAACGGAATAATAAAAAGGGGGTCGTATTAGAGCTAAATCCGAGCTGA